TTTTTTTTTTTTTACTTAAACGCCAGTAGATGGCAGCAAGTCACTGTCTTAATGAGCAAGTCCATTCACTCAATCATTCAACTGATTTGTTAAAAAAACAGATTCATTCTAGAATGATGAACGAGTCATTGAATCATTGGCTCACTCGATTCGTTCAGGATTCATTCAGTAACGAAACACTGCTGTCTACTGCTCTGTTTGGAAGAATGAAATTGAGCAAAACAGACAATATTGTATCAAAAATGAAACGTTTTAACTTGTTTATTGAACTACTGTATATAATCAGTATCACATTCACAATCATGCAGGAAAAAATACTCGTGTTATATTGCTAAACTATATCATATGATACAAGACGACAAACCCATACAGGGATTTTTTTCTCGCTCATATCTTGAAATGAAAGATGACAGATCTGAGCTGTATTAATAAGTTTAACACATACATTTCCCATAATTAATCGCACCAAATGAACATTAAATCGACAGCCCTAGTTTTAATACATTATTTTTAGTTGGCATTTGGCATGTAATGAGTGTGATGAGAAAATCCCGTGTCCTTAATAGTAACAAATACCTAGTATTGTCCGTCATACCACTCACTATTTCCAACAATTGACTTTTTGTTTTTATTTCAGGCCAGCACTCGCTAACCCACAGCCGTGATGTCAGCACCATGGACACGCTCCCTCTCAACGACAACTTCAACAATAGCTACTCACAGCGAGAGGACGACTACGAGGACCCCGCGCTGTGCTGCCCACCCACTGACGCTCTGCGTCTGGATGACGCTGCCTTTGAGAAGATGATCATCTCCGAGCTGGTTCACAACAACCTGAGGCCTCGCCTGCCGCCGCAAAACCAATCCAGCTCAAAAACCCAACCGGCGTCCGACAGCAGCCACCGGGGTCCGCAGGAGATCTTCGACGGGGGTGTCGGGAATAGAAACCGGAGTGAAGATGATGCCACAGTTTCCGACACCTCCGCTTTACCGCCGTCCTCCAGCCACCCGGCACTGGAGCTGCTTCTCCTTCACCCCAATGACCGGGAGGCCCTCGAGGCCCCGCTTTTGCCCCAACGAACTCACTCGCTCCTTTACAGCGCTCAAAAGGCCGCCAGGCGGCAGAAGGACAGCAGAAAGGCAGAAGACGATGAGGAAAGCGCGAAAGAGTTAGACGACGCGCCCTCGCCGAATAACAGGGACTCGTTGTACACAAGCATGCCCAATCTCAGAGACTCTCAGTCCTCCGAATCCCCCGACCTTGTCAGCGGACAGGACGACGGTTCTCCTTGCTCATCCGCCCAAAGTGAAACTGAGGAACAGTGCTACAAGAGCTTGCCCGACCTGGGAGACGGGACTCAACCGCTTTCCTACTATCAGATCAGCCGCCGAGGCACTAGCGAGGGCTGCATTGGCCCCGAGCTCCCCGAGGGCGAACCCGCTAGCGATGGACAGATGCAGCTAATCACCAGCCTCTGAGCCAAGAATGCATGCTTTCCTTTGTTTTCTTCTTTTGCTTCTCCCATCCAAGAGACGACAT